ACAGACTAAAGTAGACAGGAGTGACCCTCAACTCCATTCTTGATTCTATCTGTTTTTCTCTCTAAAATTCCTTTCATGGGCCGGCCCGTGGCTCACTTGGGAGAGTGTGGTGTTGATAACACCAAGGCCCCGGGTTCGGATCCCATATAGGGATGGCCGGTTCGCTCACTGGCTGAGCGTGGTGCTGACAACACCAAGTCAAGGGTTAAGATCCCCTTACCGGTCATCTTTTAAAAAAAAAAAAAATAATAAAATAAAATAAAATTGATATCTAGAAATAGTGGCATAAAAACAGTGGCCATTATTTAGAGTGTTAGAGGTAAATTGCTAGTAGCATAAGCTAGTCACCTACCTCAGGCAAGTAGGATGGGCAGGATATTTAATTCCATTGCACATATATAATTTCATATACATATAAATATATGTTGTTGTTATATTATTGACCATATATACACATAGCACTAAAATAAAATAAAAAAATAAAATTCCCTTCATTCTGCTATTTCTACTCTTCAGTTTGGTTTACTACAGGTTATTAATTGTTTCTACCTAGATGTCAACAGGTACTTCAAACTAAATATATCCAGAATCAAATTTCCTGTCTTCCTCATCCTCCAAACCTGCTCCTCTTTCTGAGTTCCCTATTTAAGTTCAGTAACATCAGAAATCCAAGTCAGAGTCTCAGTTTTATCTTTAATTTCTCTTTCTTCCATCACCTTCATTTAATCAGTTACCAAGTTGTATAGTGTCTATTTCCAAAATAGCTTTTAACTATAGTCATTCGATCAATCGTCCATTCACCAATATTTATTGTTATTTACATGTGTTATGCATATTATTGTGGTTATTGTGATGTGTATGAAATCAATCTCTTCTCTCAAAAAGTTCATAGTCTAATAGAGAGACAGATAAGCACATTAGCAGTTATAATATTTGAAGATAAGTGCTTCACGGATTTTTTTCAGGAACATACGGGAAAAAATATCTCAATTACATTTGGGAGGAACAAGGAAAGCTTCCTGGACAATATGATATGTGATGTCTATGTGTTAGCTACATGAAGAAGGGCACAGGCAGGTAGAGGGATCCAGACCAAAAAAACGACACATAAGAAACTGTAAGATTTGAATAAGTATAGCATGGTCTGGTGATCTAAATAGTTTGGCTGAAGGGATGCTTTTCGAAGAGTGATGGTAGGTGTGACTACATGACTATAGAGTTATAGAGGGAGGGTTAGGTCATAAAGAGCCTTGTATAAAAAGTAAAGAAGTGTAAGTCTTAACCTGGAAGCTGTGGAGATCACTGAAGGATTTAAGCACAAGAGTGACATGATGAGACCTATACTTTTTGAAAATTTTTCCATCAGCAGCTTGAATGTAGATTTGAAGAAATGACAGACTGAAGGCAGGAAGTACAACTGCAGGGCTATTACACTAATCCTGGTGAGAAATACAGAGGGCCTAAACTGCAACATTGGCAACTAGAATGGCTGTTTGTAAGGGCAAGGAAGGGAAATTTTGAGTCAAGGATAGATGGGGATAAAGGTGATAATTAATGGCATGAGGTCGTTAAGGAGTACAGACAGGATTTGATGCAAAACATATGTGGAACTTGAACATGCAGAGAAATACTTATATGGAGACAGAAAAGAAGGGGAAAGATCTATACGTATAAGGATGTTTGTAGGTGGCAGGTAGGGTTGCCAGATAAAATACAGGATAATCAGCTAAACTTGAATTTCAGATAAAATAATGAATAACTTTTAATATAAGTATTTTCCAAATATTGCACCTCCATCCCTTAACAAATTTCCTTTTCCTGAATGGCATACATTCCACTTACCTGCTTTGCAAATTTCTACTCATTCATGTCAGTTCAAGTGCTACCTTCTCTGCAAAGAATCATCTGACTCCCCTAACCCTGTGCTCTCACAGTATTACATATTATATATCATTCATTATGATTATTATAAAGTTTTCCTGTATATCTTTCTCTAGATTGTAAGTTTCTTGAAAGTAGAGATCAGGACTTTTCATCTTTGTAGCCCTTGTGTCCAGCACAATGGCTGTCACAAAAGAGGCAGCCAATATTTTCTGAATGAATGCATGTCCGATTTCAGATCTTTATTACCTGTTGCCCAACTTTTTCTAGTTCATTTCCCTTCCTCCATTTATTCCCCTCTTTAAGCCATCCTCCATACTGACATAAGAGGTACGCTTTTAAAACCTAAACCATCAGGATACTTTACTACTGAAATATCTTTGATTACTTGATGACACCAATAGGATAAAGTAGAAACTTCAGCATGGTACTGAATGTTCTCCACAATTTATTCCTAAAGCTAAGCTAAGATCTCAGATTTTGAAATCACATTTGGGTTAGAATTCTGGCTATGCCACTTGACTATTATGTAATTTTGAGGGAATAACTTAACCATCTGTAAAATGGGGATAATAACTACCTCACCATGCCGTTGTGAAAAGTTATAAGGTGATGTCAGTAAAGCATTTACTACTGTACTTTCCTACTTGACACTACAGTATAGTAACAAATACAGCTATTAAAACCTTTCCAGCTTCATCTCTTATCACGTCCTCAGTCTCTGTTCACAATGATACCATCCACAGAAGCTGCACTTCGTAACCTTCCAATCCCCCAAACTTTAGGCTATTTCATCCTTCCATGTCTTTATTCGCAATGCTTTATTTGCTTACAATGCCCATTCCACACCAGCCTACAGGGCAAACCTTGGTATTTAAAATTTTGCTATGGGTAATTCCTAGTATACATACACAACAGAAAAGGAAGTTAAAAATGCCAAAGTTTCTTCAGGTATTTTCTGCTATGTAGATGCTCCAGGACATAACAGACTTTCTTTTATTTTATTTTAGTTTTATTTATAAAAATTTATTTATTATTATTATTATTTTTACATTCTAAGATGTTGTTGCTTGGGGGAGGGGGAGAGGGAAAAGAGAGGGGAATAGGGTGCTAGGAGGAGAAAGGTAGGGCATGTTATAAAAATTTATTTATTATTATTATTATTTTTACATTCTAAGATGTTGTTGCTTGGGGGAGGTGGAGAGGGAAAAGAGAGGGGAATAGGGTGCTAGGAGGAGAAAGGTAGGGCATGTTGAGGCCTGTGGCACCCTCTTCATTCCAGCAGGGGAGCCCAGGGGGCTTCTGGTGGCAGCTTGGTCATCACTGGGCTGGGTGCAGACATGAGGGTGTGGCTGAGGCCCTTGGCCCTCCCCCACCCTGGCTTGGGAGCCCAGGAGGTTTCCAGTCCTAGGTTTACAGGTGTTCTTTGGCGGTGTTAGACCCTTACCGGTTAATATCAGAACTTTGTCTCTGATCTGTGGGGTTTTTGTGTTTTCTTTCAGTTCTATGTTGGTTATCCACTGTTCCCACCACTTAAACTCTGCACTGGAACTAATTTGTTGTCCTTTGCTTACATCTGAAATGAGGGAGCTTCTTGTGGGAACAAGCACTTGAGCCCTGTGGCTGAGCCAAATTGCTGCTTTGCTGCTGATTCCTGGAGAAGGCTTTTTGTGCAGCTCGGGTTTTAATTATCGACCGTGTAAGCACTTCCAGATCTTGTGAGGTCCCATACACCTGGGCTGTGTGGAAACTCTGGTCTGGGCCTGAGTCATTTCAGCAAACTGCACCCCCTACAGTACTATATTCCTAACCAATCTCCACTGAGTGGGCCTGTGCTGATTGGAGGGCAGATCAGCTGTCCATACTGTGCCCCAGTGTTTCCCTGGTGGGCTCATCTCCTCCACCTCCTGCACTCCAAACACTTCCCATGGGGTGGGCCATGCACTGGTCCGTTGCAGTGACTCACCACCTCTGAGTGGCTCCTTTTTTCAGTTGTCTGTGGTGCCTTTCTCCTATGTGGGTCCATGGGAACACTATTAGTGTTCTTGGTGGCCTGGGGGCTACTAAGACCCTTATTTCCCTGCAGTCTCCAAGCAACTTCATATGAAGTGCACTGTGTGGAAACTCTGGTCTGGGCCTGAGTCATTTCAGCAAACTGCACCCCCTACAGTACTATATTCCTAACCAATCTCCACTGAGTGGGCCTGTGCTGATTGGAGGGCAGATCAGCTGTCCATACTGTGCCCCAGTGTTTCCCTGGTGGGCTCATCTCCTCCACCTCCTGCACTCCAAACACTTCCCATGGGGTGGGCCATGCACTGGTCCGCTGCAGTGACTCACCACCTCTGAGTGGCTCCTTTTTTCAGTTGTCTGTGGTGCCTTTCTCCTATGTGGGTCCATGGGAACACTGTTAGTGTTCTTGGTGGCCTGGGGGCTACTAAGACCCTTATTTCCCTGCAGTCTCCAAGCAACTTCATATGAAGTGCACAGCTGTGGCTTTTGACAGCTCTTTCTCCGTGTGCTCACCAGGGCCAGACTTGAAGTGGCCTGGGCTCAAAATGGTTGGAACAGTCTTTCCCTTCTCTCATTGTGGTTTCTCCTGTCTTCATAAACTCCACAGGTCTCTCCTCTTACCCTGAGCTCTAGTGGTGCCAGCTTGGCAGTTGTTGCTTTTTAATAGTTGCAAATTGGTTGATTGTGGGAGAGGGTGATGCTGGGTACTGTCTATCCCACCATCTTGACCAGAAGTTGACTTTCTTTTATTAATCTGTGGATATCTTATGGGCCCTAGTGGGTTTTAGTGGTCAGGAAATTCTTATCCATTTTATTGTAAGCTATGATTTTTTAGAGTTGTTTTTTTTTCCCCATCTCTTCCAAGAAATCTTTTATGAGTGATTTATATTCTTTGCAAATATTGTTACCCTAATCTAAATCTACCTATACCAAACCAGGAATATCATTTCCTATTACCAGAACCATGGAAAAAGTTTATTAAATGCACCTGAGACAGCTCAAAAATATTCAGATATGTTCTGATATTTTTAAAATAATTTTTTCCATTCATTGAGAATTGAAATAAAAAACTATAGGTATCTTTACTCTTTTTTAAAAAAAATTACCTTTGGTCCTTCGGGGCCATTTTGTCCAGGAATCCCAATATCTCCTGGAAAACCCTAGGGAATATAAAAATGTAGAGAGTTTATTCTACAGTGAATTACTTTAAATCTACTAAGCATATAAAAATTCCCTTTGCCTATCTTTTATGCCCAATTAAATCAACTTATGCTCTTCAAAAACTCAATATTAAAGATTAGTTAAATTAGGCAGTTGATTAATATTGATATATAAAACTTACAAAGTGTGCTAACACAGAATTTACTTCATCAGTTATTTAAAAACAATCCTCAGACCCAAAGAAAATCCTCTGGTCTAGTCTAAGAGAGTAGAAGTTTTATTAGAAATTATCCACAACTTGGAAATAAGGCAAAAAAATATGTGACATGTCCNTTTAAATCTACTAAGCATATAAAAATTCCCTTTGCCTATCTTTTATGCCCAATTAAATCAATTTATGCTCTTCAAAAACTCAATATTAAAGATTAGTTAAATTAGGCAGTTGATTAATATTGATATATAAAATTTACAAAGTGTGCTAACACAGAATTTACTTCATCAGTTATTTAAAAACAATCCTCAGACCCAAAGAAAATCCTCTGGTCTAGTCTAAGAGAGTGGAAGTTTTATTAGAAATTATCCACAACTTGGAAATAAGGCAAAAAAATATGTGACATGTCCTTTCAACATCATATGGGACACAGGGCCACTGAAGATTAGGTAAATGTACTTTGTTTACTAACTACATGTTAACTTGCAGATTTTTGTTAGGTAGAGATGCAAACAACTTCTGTCTAGTAAAACAAACAAATGAAAAATCCCAAAGGTTAGGGCTTAATATACAAGATTAATCAGTTTTGCATCTAACCCAGCTATATTATTTTAACATTCCCATATTTAATTGTCTATAAATACTCAGCTCCTCAAATGCTTTTTGGAACAATTACCGGCTCCATCAATAATAAACTGGATAAAGTCTTTGACCCATGTTTACTTAATGTTTGCATGAGAATCATGATTTTACCCTTTTAGAAATTATACTGGCAGTCTAAAACATTTGGATCAAGAAATAGAAATGCACCATAGTGTTAAATAAAATCTGTGCTGGGAAAAGGCCTAGAATGCTGCTCTAAAATGGTTAGATTAAAATTCTTGCTGAAATAACAAATTAGAATGTGATTCATCATAATCCTTTTCAATAATGATAATAAGTTAATAATTGTGGTTTTACTTGTATTGATTTTGTCACAGAGAGAGCTGTTTCAGTGTTTCCCATTAACATGGACAAAGGGGGAAAAAAGACAGACAAGTACAAGACTCAGCATCTTTAAATGTAAAGAAGGCTGCAATTAAAATATAAATGTCAGCAATAAAAGGTAGTTAAGTAGAGAGATAAATGTGGCGAGAATAAAAATCCCAACAAGTCAGATGGGATAGCAAAGTTGACTCTGGGTTACTCATTCTGGAAAGAAAAATAAGAAGAAAGTGATATCGACTCATCCAGTCTGGGTTAGGACAGAAATGCCTTGACTCAGACTTAAAACTTGGATTCTGTGAAGAAAAATATAACTTGGGGACATGTCTGGCAAAGCAAAAAGCAGTGGTAACAGAAAGACTAAACACAGGATCGGATTTCTGGAAGTTCTGGAATAGTTTAATACAGATACGTTTAGTACAGACTTATTGATTGCTTTACTACTCAAAGGCAGTCAGGTTCATCTATGTAACTATTTGCATATATGTCAATTTTTTAAAACTTAGATTCTTTTCCTGATAATTTCATACCCTTCCTCTCAATCACACCCTTTGTTAGTTTGTTTGAGGGGGGGGGGTCCCTGTAGACTTGAATCAAGACCGTTTTGTTCAGTTCTTCTATAACATAAGCTAATTCTCCAAAATTGAACTCATTATCTTCTGCAACATGCTCCTTCCTTATCCTGTGTTCACTGAGTAAATGTTACCTCCATTCACCAGTTTCGAGCCAAAAAGCTGTAATCATCTCTGAATGCTTCTTCTTCCTTTACCACCACCACCTTCCAGTCATTCACAAAGCCCCATCCATTCCACCTCCTAATTCCCCATCAACTTGAGCTACTTTTCTCCATGCTGCCTCCACTACCCTAGGGCAGGTCACTATTTCCAGCCTCCAAACTCTTATTCTTACTTTTGCTCATGTTCTCATCCCCATAAATGCATTTTTCACTCCAGTGAGACTGATCATTCTCTGAATATCTGACCATGCTACTTTTTTACTAGCCTCAGAATAAAATCCAACTTCCTTAACACAGTTTTACAGGCGCTTTCATGATTTGGTCTCTACTTACTTCTCTTCTTTACACCCTTCCACCCAGCATTTCAGTCACTGAACAACTTTTTTTTTTTTTTTTTTTTTTTTTCTTTTTTGTGACCGGCTGCACCGCGCTCAGCCAGTGAGCTCATTGCACCGGCCATCCCTATATAGGATCCGAACCCGCACTCTCCCGAGTGTGCCACGGGCTCGTCCCCACTGAACAACTTTTATACTCAAAGCACCAATTGAGTATCCCTTATCCGAAATGCTTGGGACCAGAAGTGTTTCAGATCTTGGATCGTTTTGAATTTGAGAATATTTGCAGACTACATAGTGATTGAGCATTCCTAATCCAAAAATCCAAAATTTGAAATACTCCAATGAGTATTTCCTTTGAGCCTCATGTCACTGTTAAAAGTTTTGGATTTCAGATTTTTGGATTAGGTTGCTCAATACATTCTTTTTATCTTCTGGGCTTTTGCACATACTGTTTCCTATACCTTGAATAATTTTCCTTTACCTTTTGTTCACCTATAACAATTATATTTTAAATAGAAGATTGAACAATATTTTATTTATAAGTCTTTCTTTCACCTCCATACCTTGAGTTAGATCACTTCTAAGAACTCTCACACCGTCCTGGGGCCCTACAAAGTCACTTAACATAGTGTTTTGGCTTGTTCTGTTTTCCTCCACAGACTGTAAACTCCTTGAGTGCAGTTATATGTGTTATTCACTACCATATTCCCAGAAACTAGTATAATACCTGGCACATAATAAGTGCTTTAAAAAATGATTTTTTGTTATTGTTGTTGAATGATTTTTTTTTTCTTTTGAAAAAAAAGAAAACATGTCTGGTCTCTCAGTACAAGTTTACAAATAGTGTAAAGCATTGGTTCAGATATCCCCATGGATAAATTCATAATTCCTGTCCATCTTCCAGATGAGCCTGGAACACCCTGTCATACCACAAAGCCCTGTCATACAACAACGCAAGAATGCCATTAAAGGTATCAAAACTAAATAAGTCACATTAAAAGAACTAAGAGGCTGCTTAAAGAGACTCTCACTGGCCAGATATGGATAATATAAACTCCAATATGGATAAGAATTGCACTGAATTGAAACACATCAAATATGTTTAAATCCATACTTTCATAATTACACAACAACAAAAATTGTCCATGTTCAGAGGATGAAGGGAGCCATCTCATTATGTTGAATGTGGTAAATGAAGGTAAAGAATCAAGTATTTTTCCTGCCTTTCCTGTTGTACTGTACCTCTAGTAACCAAATAGTAGATGAGGGGATGTATTCCAGCCAATAAATGAAAAAGAGGTGATAGAGTAAGAAAATCTCCATTTTTCAATCCCACAAATGATCTGTTACTAATATCACAAAAAAAGATAATTAGACATAATGTGAAGAACACAGTATCACCCGTAGACTTATGAAAGACCACAATGTCATCTATAGCCTTGTCAAAAACAAACAAACCTGAATATAGTTAGGCCTCTGTATGTGACTACCAAATTGCGGGAAATACATAGGACCAGGATGCATGTGGAACCTACACCACGATAATATAAGCAGCATAATCCAGACTGGAAAACTCTACAGGTCAAATAACCAGGCATCTTCAACACCTAAATTGTTGAAACAAGCCTAAACTATTGTTTTTTTAAAAAATTTTAATATTGGGGCCAGCCCCGTGGCACGCTCGGGAGAGTGCAGTACTTGGGAGCGCAGTGGCGCTCCC